TTGGTCTTCAGACGACTATCAAATGTATTTTGAATAACAGTGAGATTTTCCAGACGGGAAATAAATGGTTGAAAGTATGCTGACATATTTTTTGCTTGTTGTCTACCATTGTCATTCGATGCATCTATTTTCGTCTGGATGTGGCAACAATTTTCTCTATTTGATGCCGTGCCTGCTTTTCCTCGGTCAATATATTCATCAGTTGTACAAACTGACTTGTGGTTAAGTAGTGACTGTCACCATTTGGTCTGACAGTACTAGTATCTAGCAGAAACGTAAAGCAGCCATGGTAAAGCAAAAAGATAAGGCTAATAATTTAGCTGCCAAAAAGTTTAACAGTTTCTTAAGATGTCAAATAGAAAAAATAATATTATGTGTGCAGTTATTTGCGCATAAATATAAAAAGTTATCAGATAAAGTGGTTTAAAGTAAATATTTACATTATTAATAACATTTAAAGTATTTTAAATAACACAATAATGATAAAGATGTCCTTTTCTCATGTTTTTCTTTTGAATGTAGTATGTCTTTATAAACCCATAAACATGTAGTCCCGATTTTCATGTAAAAGCTGTTGTCAGCCTAAGGGCCGACATATCAAATTCCAACGTTTAACAACTGGAAGAAGGAATTCAGGCTACGGATGGATGCAGTTAAGGACTATACCAAATAATGGATACAGCGAGAGTCAAATGAACCATAACTGGACACTTTAACTCTTCGGTCATGGATTCAAAAGCGCATTCAAAATATACAATGTGTTTTGCGCAAACAGGTTTGTTACCCTTTCAAGACTATTCTCTTCATGACAATTTTGTTTCTGATCAGGCAAATAAAGCCTCGAATAAAATCCATTACATATGCAAAAATCATTATCAAAAATGCAAAGGTCTTTGAAAAGTAAAATTTGGAATCCCACAGATACCCCTACATCATTTACGAAAGAGGGAATACAATAAAAGAAATGTTTCCTTCTATCCATAAGAATTTACATAAGATTAGTAGCACCTTATCAAATGAAGCGTAACAGTAAGTATTTCATTGAGATACAATATCCACTGTTACCAACATTTAACTTTTTTTTAACTTTTAACATGTGGTTTATGTTGATTGACTATTTTTGAAGTGCTTAACATCTAGATATGTTATCAAACTAATCGTTAATATCAACCACATATTAAACATGAGTCATACATGAGTCAAACTGAGTTTTACTGTGCGTACTGGTGTACATTTGTTTTTTCTACATTGGCTAGAGGTATAGGGGGAGGGTTGAGATCTCAAAAAACATGTTGAACCCCGCCGCATTTTTGCGCCTGTCCCAAGTCAGGAGCCTCTGGCCTTTGTTAGTCTTGTATCATTTTTAATTTTAGTTTCTTGTGTATAATTTGGAGTTTAGTATGACGTCCATTATTACTGAACTAGTATACATATTTGTTTAGGGGCCAGCTGAAGGACGCCTCCGAGTGCGGGAGTTTCTTGTTGCATTGAAGACCCATTGGTGGCCTTCGGCTGTTGTCCGCTCAATGGTCGGGTTGTTGTCTCTTTGACAAATTCCCCATTTCCATTTTCAATTTTATGTCTAAATTTGAACGAAAAAAATCAATAATCTATTGATACACATCCGATACATATATACCCATCTAATTGTTTTAATAGTCTAGCAAAAATGATATGCCAGTGATCTGGAGGTTATATCCATCAGTGGATGAGGCGTGTAAGGTTAATATCAAAAATCAATATAAACCGGCTATGAATCGCCTTCATCTCAAAGCTATGCTCTTGAAGATAAGATTTGAACTACTATAAAAATACAAATTAATCTAGCAATTTATTAAAAATTAGCACACAAAAAGTATTTAGAAAAGTTTAGCATTAAGGTGGTACCCAACACCTTGACTAATATTAATTTGGCTCGTTTAATTTTCATAAAATTTTGACAAAATGTTTACTTTGACCCTTTGACAAAAATATAAAAATTTCAAAAAATTTGAACCAACCACTTTATCAGAAAAATTTCGTTGGTTATGTAGCAGTTTGACAAACGCTAATTTTGATCATTGAGAAGCTTAATATTTCCTTAACAATACAATGTAATTAAAACGTTTAGCTGATTTTTACAGAGTTATCTCCCTGTAGTGTTAGGTACCACCTTAATCTATTGTATATATAGTTTTTTAGACATCATATTCTACAGTCACTCATTCAAAACCTAGCGCAGAGGTTGTACTCAATGTGTTGGTTTCAATGTGTTGAAAGTCAATTCGGCCCTATACTAATGCACTTTAATTAATATAGATAATTGCACATTTCACAACGGGGATTGTTATTAACATAATGTACAGTGAATTGTATATGTCAAAGGGTTTATTTATAGATTGAGATTTTTTGGTTGAAAAATTCTTATTTTTCGTTGTGTCTTCAGGATAATACGAAAATATATTTTGTAAAATTCATACGACGAGTATTCATAAAAAGTAGTGATGTAGAAAACATAAGAATGATAAATGTTGCAGCATTTCTATGCAGTTTAATGAATGAATTGTATACAGTTTGGAATTTTGAACTGGCTTATAAGAATGCCTCCAAGATGACCAAAGCTTGATTTGGCTTTTATATTTAGGTCCTTTTTTGGTCATATAACTCTCCAACTGTTTCGGTTATTAAACATCCTTTGCTTTCAAATATTCGCTTTGAGCGTTCCTGATGAAGGTAAATCCAGAAAAGATCGTCGAACGCATAAAGTTAATAAAGTGTGGTTTTATCTTATTTTTTTTACCCTATCAAATCAACTCTAAAATGGAATGATCAAAATCGTTTAAACTTTGTCAGAACACATACCCATTCGTTGGTGTAAATAAATGAAACGATGTGAAATGTTTAGCGTTACATGGGTCTAATTTTGCAGTACCAGATGTGCATTTCGACCATAAATGCCTCTTCAGTGAGGTTCAAGGCCCAAATATTTGAAAATCCAAGCCTTTTAAAAAAAAGAGCTGATAAGCCAAACAATTACAAACAGGTATAGCTAAAACCGGGCAATGAATCAGAGCTTTACATGAGGGAGACATTTCCCTTCACTTAAAATAATTTCAATAACAGAAAATTTTATTTTGTAACACAGTATCAGTATACCGATATACTGGCTACACTGTTGGATTCAAATAACGTCAGTCGTCATTGCGAAATTATTATCAAACGTCTTAGTTTGTTTTACACGCTATGAAATATTTCCTTATAAGAATTGAGCTCAATAATCTCATTTTGCAATTGTTCATCATAAATTAAGCAATTAATAATAATTCATCAATTAATTTTTCTGTTTACAAAAAGTATAGTATTACCTCCATTTGATATACAAGTGTAGATTTCATACTCTTTTACATTCCCAATTTGTTTTGTAATAAAGTTAATTAATTGTTCAAATTGTTGCCAATGTTCATTTCAAGTTATCAAACGCGTTTTCACTGTCTTCAATTGAGTAGGAAATATGTTTTGAATATTTTTCAAATCAAAACTCCACGGAGAATGTTTTCTGTATTTGTTGCCACATTATCAAAGAAATAAATATTCATTCCTCATGTGATCTATTATCTTAAAATATTTTGGTAATGTCTCACTTGATATAAAAGGTACAGACTAACACGCGTACGTTTCCATATTTAAATCAAAACTTATTTTCCCCGTTACGTTAATTGATAGTTTAGATTGTTGCCAATTCAATGTATATGTCTTATATGTATATTGTTCTTCAGATTCTCATTTACTAAACAATGTGTTTTTGAGTGCCAATCTTCTTAAGAATCAAGCAGTGGTGAAAACATGACAAACAAAAACCCACTCAAGTTGACAGTAATTTATTTTCAAATTGTATAATAGAGAACGAATATAACATTCGTTTCCTTTTCCTGTTCTGGTTATTTAGGATATAATTTGGTTCAAATGCATTAGAAATTGACAATTAAGGGGAGCTAACTCCGTAATTTGCTATAATTCTAATCAAAAGTTATTAAGAGATTTCTCGAATTACCAGACAAGCAGAAACGAAAGACATACCATTTCTAATTTAGGATGAGGGTAACTTCAAATTAGGATGGTTAGGTCGGTCGGTTTTTTTCGGTCATGTTTTGAAATTTTTCTTAATTGCCTGATTCCTGTTATCTGAATATGATTAAGTTATTCTTAGTTCTTGTAGGCTAAATGTCTTTGCTCTTGATGTTCCATTATCAAATTTTCTCTTTTTTTCCTTAATTTCGGATTTAATATGATTGTACATGTGCGTTTTGGTAGATTAAATGGTTCATTGACTTTTGAATGTTTTGAGTGACATGAAGAAAAAAAAATCGTATTGTTTGGAATCGTTCTGCAATCTGTAGCCCTACAAAGGGTAAGGGTTACTTGCACAGGAATTTATTTAACACCAGTTCCGTAATCAAAAAGATCTCCGCTCTTTGCTTCAATTGACAGTATGCAAGCTTGCACTTTTTAGGTTCCCACAATATTATAACGTCCTTATCTTTTGAACATGTAACTTAATTTGTATTTAAGATTAAAATAGTCAAAAATTGCAATTTCTAAAGGTTTTGTCATATTTGGGGTAAATATGAAGAAAAAAAGAAAGATTTCAAACTCAAGGCAAAATATTTCGGAATTTTTATTTCAGGGACGAGATAATTCATGATTGCTAGATAAAAAGTCTTCAACAATACTTGAATAACAGTTTGACTTCATGAACATGCATAGATTATTAAATGTTCATTGCATAACATCAAGTGAGAATATGTAGTATGATATTTCTATACATGTAAAAGGAATAAATTTGCGAAAATATGGTCATAACTCTTTATACATGTGTTTTGGTAAAAACACCACACATTTCAACTAAAATATAAATTTGAATGAGGAAGAATTATAATAACACTGTTAAACAAACGGGAAATTAAACACTTATCTATCTTCCGACTAACTTAATTATTATAAAAAAAAAGGTCATTGCAAAACTTTTACTAGGAAAACGTCTTACTGTTTTTGGAAATTCAGCGGAAACTTGAATTACAGGACCTTTTTTCACAGCATAGAAACGTGCCGAAATAGAAGCTACTAAATGATGGCTTCTGAAATACCTATGCAGGTGTATGAAGGTACTACAGACGAGCATTCATACGAACAAATCAAGGTCGATAAGAAGGAAAATAATTTTAACTTGTCCAGAAAACAATGGATCAATATTTTTCTGTTAATGCTTGCGTTGGCGACTGTTGGAATAGGATTTACCGTGACTTATTTTACTTTACGTAAGTAAACCTGTATTACTTTTTAAGTAATGGACTGATCCAAGGGTTGCGTTAATAGGGGACGTGTCCCTCCACATTTCAAGGAGGAATCCCCCACTGTTTGTTCTTTGTGCTCGACTTTTGTAGATGAAACAAAACCATAAAAGCTTAATTGATATGTTTACCATTAATAACATGACAAACTAGGGTTGAAGGATGTTATTGGTTCGTGTATTAGATTTTCTCTGTTTAAATTTAGGGACCGTACAAATTGTCGTCGAACAAGCACGTTATATTTTCAGTTAACCGGTTGATCAAATTTTCAATTAATATGTACATGCGGAAGTTAAAAAAAAAGAGAAAGATGTATTTTGATACTTGCTTTCGTTTTGTATTAATGAAATTAAAGTGTTAATGTATTTGTTTTTACAGTCTACTTTAATTAAACAAAACCTTTCTGCCAAGAGCGCCTTTGTCTGAAATCATTTATAGGAAGTAATACTAAGAAAAGAATTTATCAGTTTTTATACTTTTTCAACATCAAGTTCGTTAAGCGTAGTAGATCCTAATGTCACAACTATTTAATGATCTTTGACTTTCAACAACTTAGAGTTTTTGTCTAAGTTTAATCACGTTCCGAACGTAGTGACGTCGCACTAGGTCTTGTTACCACCAAGCGTGACCGGACGTTCCAAACAAGCAAATGATATTGTCCTTTGTTCATATACGTGGCTTATTTAATAATTTAAAGTAACAAAATTATAATAGAAATTTTATTTCAGAAGACGAGCATTACACCAACTTTTTCTGGACGTTGTGACGAATTGGCTATACATTTTGATTTGATATGAGATATGAATCGTGTTTCATAACTGAATAATCAATAAACTATTTACTTTGAAAAAGAAACACCTGTGAACTTTTACTCAAAATTACTATTTTCTATCGTCAAACGGTCAAGAAGAGTTTAACAGCTGCATGCTTATTAAACAAATTGAATGCTTATTGAAAACAATTGCCTTTAAATGATGAAAGGATACGAGTTATAATGTAACATTTGTCAAAGTTAACATTTATTACATTTCACAACTTGTCCGGCTTTCCTTTTTCCATCGACTTTATGATAGAAATTGTATATTTTGACTTCAAATAATAATTAATGGTCAGTAGTGTCAAAAGGCCGATTCTGCGGCACTTGCCATTTTAAGCACAGATTCAGCATAGGAACCCCAACCCCAAACATAAAATGCAAACGCAATACGTTTCAATTAGTCTAAGGGTAAAAACAAGAATGTCTTTCAGTTTAGCACAAAACCCAAACACCTTAGAAGGATGTAATCCTAGGGTAAATACAAATATGTCTTTTACACAAAACCCAAACACCTTAGAAGGATGTAATCCTAGGGTAAATACAAATATGTCTTTTACACAAAATGTCAGAGATACCCCAGTCCCAAATACCTTAGAAGGAAGCATTCCCCAAATTGAAATAAATAAAGAGATGGCATCCAATAGTGTTAATATGAATATGGATCAGTTCAAAGAGAATGAAGAACTCAAAACTTGTGGTGCTCCACTAAAAAGAAAGAAGGGGCAGTTTTGTAAGAGTAAACCAGGGAAAGATGGGCTTTGCTGGAGACACAGTAAAGAACCACGCCAGCAGGAGGATACCCAAGTTGTAGGGAATATTGTGGTGAAAACCACCATGAAAGAACTTCGAAAAATCGCAAAGAAGGAGGGTCTTAAGGGATATAGTAGGAAACCCAAGGGGGAATTGGTTAAGTTAATTGAGACCAATACTGCCCACAAATTTACTCGCGAAGAGGTTTTTACCAAAAAGGAACTGAAGACCATTGCCAAAAGACGGGGAATTACCAACTATTCCCGACTAGGGAGAGCTGACCTGACTGAACTGGTGAAAAAGAACATTGAAAATGCCCCCGTTGAAGAGGAAATCAAAATTGTTAACCGACGCGATGCATTGAAAGGTGTATTTGGCACAATCACCATTGAACCCTTGAAACAGCATGATATGCTAACTTTTTTTAATGTAAGTCAAAGCACTATCGCCAGCACAATTTCAGATGCACTCACCAAAAAGAAGGCCCTAAAAGTGCAATTAGTACTACAGGTGGAGATGGTAAAAACAAACCCAGCGACCGGAGAAAATATCTACGTCATTCCCCACTTTAGATCAACCCTTACCACCATCACCGAATCCACAGACCTTGAGTTGGAAATAGCATTTATGGTCGAGAAGATCAAAGAAAATATGGCTAAATACATGCGTGAAGGTAGTGGGTGGACATTTGGTCATATTGAAAAGCTAGAAATTCACTTAAACAAGTTTAAACCTCTCAAAGGCAGTTCCTACATAGCATTGCCAAAACCGCTCGCTCAAAAGAAAGCTATCATCAATGTGCAGAATACTGATCAGGAATGCTTACGCTGGGCCATTCTTTCAGCCCTACATAATGAAGAAGTTGACAAAAACTGTACCAAACGGGTGGGTCAGTACAAAAAGTGGGCTGATGAGTTCAATTTTGATGGCATTGAGTTTCCAGTCTCGCTAAAGGCCATTGACAAATTCGAGAGGCAGAATACCGACCTAAACATTAACGTCTTTGGCTTTGACGGTGTAAAGAAGGGTGAAGATGAAGAAGAGGACTTCCAAATATATCCCCTCAGAATATCTAAGAATACAGGTTCGAGACATGTGGATCTTCTGTTCCTGACCAATGAGAGCAAGCAGCACTATTGCTGGATTAAGAGCCTATCTCGACTTTTGAGCTGTCAAATCTCAGAGCATAGTCATGAACTGTTTTTTTGCCGCAGGTGTTTGACTCACTTCTCAAGACAGGATATCCTGGATGAGCATATGGAGTATTGCAGTCAGAAGGATGCAGTAAGGATCGAGATGCCAGAGGAAGGAACCCACATAGCCTTCCATAACCACAAAAAGTTGATGAGGGTTCCATTCGTCATTTATGCGGATTTCGAGTGTTTTACGGAGAAAGTCGACACTTGCCAGCCAGATCCATCACAGGCCTACACAAAGGCATATCAACAACATCGACTATCAGGTTTTTGCTATAGGGTGAAATATGCTCACGGTGATTACAAAGACTCAGTCATCTACTGTGGAGAGGATGCAGCTAAAAAGTTTGTACAGTGCATGGAGCAGGAAGTTAGGGAGATTGCTAAGCTTTACAAGGAAAACAAACCTATAGAGATGACCGACGCTGATAAGGAGATTTTTGAAGCAACCACAAACTGTCACATTTGCGGTGGTGAATTAGCTGGTGACAAGGTTCGCGACCACGATCACCTCACAGGTAAGTATCGCGGCGCAGCACACAACCAGTGCAACTTGGACTTCCAACTTCCAAGACATGTACCCATTGTTTTCCACAACTTGAGTGGATACGACGCCCATCTTTTTGTGAGTGAATTAGGAGTTGGAGAAGGTAAGATAAACTGCATCCCTAACACCGATGAGAAATACATCAGCTTCTCGAAAGAAGTAGATGGAGCATTGGAGATGAGATTCATAGATTCATACAGGTTTCTACCGAACTCCCTGGAAACCTTGGCAGGGAATCTTACAAAGGAACAATTCGGGGCAATAAAGAAGTGCTTTGGCGATCGATATGAACTGATGATCGGGAAGGGAGTATATCCCTATGATTACATGGATGGACCTGCCAAGCTAGAGGAAACACAACTACCACCCAAGGAGGAATTCTTCAGCAAACTCTATGGCACACACATCAGCGACGAGGACTATGCACATGCTCAGCAGGTGTTTAAGGAATTTAGGTGTAAGACTTTGCGGGACTACCACAATCTATACCTGGAAAGTGATGTAGCCATATTGGAGGATATTTTTGAGGACTTCAGGAATATATGTATGGCTAACTATAAACTCGACCCTGCACACTATTTCACATCTCCAGGACTATCCTACGATGCAATGCTAAAATGTACAGGAGTGAGACTAGAACTCCTCTCGGACCCTGATATGCTGATGATGTTTGAGAATGCAACCAGAGGAGGTGTCGCCATGATCTCTCATCGACATGGCAAGGCTAACAATCCCTACATGAAGAATTTTGATAGCTCCCAGCCAACTAAGTATTTGACCTATCTTGACGCCAACAACCTCTACGGATGGGCGATGGTACAATCTCTGCCCACGGGAGACTTTGAGTGGGTAGAGCCAGAGGAGATTGAGGAGATCCTAGAGTACCCCGATGACCATGAATATGGTGCCATGGTAGAGTGTGATTTGGAGTACCCCGAAAAGCTTCATGATGCTCACAATGACTATCCACTAGCTTCAGAGAATGTGGAGATAAATAAGGTGCGAAAGCTAGTGCCTCACCTAGGTAAGCGCGAAAAGTATACTCTCCACTACAGAAATCTCAAAATGTACCTGACGATGGGCATGAAACTCACCAAAACACGTCGGATTATCAGGTTTAGACAATCCCCATGGCTCAAACACTACATCGATCTTAACACCGCTCTCCGCACCAAAGCTAAGACCGATTCTGAGAAAGACTTTTTCAAACTTATGAATGTCTCAGTTTTCGGAAAGACCATGGAGAACATCCGCAAGAGGGTGGACGTCAAACTGGTCAATAGTGAAAAGCAGGCACTTAAGCTTGTGGCCAAACCCAACTTCGATCGTCGGGTCGTCTTTACTAACAACTTAGCAGCCGTCCACATGAAAAAGACCAAGCTTAAGTTTGATAAGCCTGTGTATTTGGGAGCCTGCATTCTGGACATCTCAAAGACCCTGATGTATGACTTTCACTACGGTTTCATCAGGAAGATGTACAGTGACAACGCCCAGCTGCTCTTTACCGACACTGACAGCTTGGCCTATGAGATTAAGACCGAGGACTTTTACAAGGACATTACACCACACGTCCAAGAAAAATTCGATACCTCCAGCTACCCTACCGAACATCCTTCAGGCATTCCCACCGGTGTAAACAAAAAGGTGGTTGGAATGT